TTCTCGTCTCCCCTCCTCCTCCTCTCTCCTTCCCCCCCCGCTTCCCCTTTTCCTTTCTCCCCTCCCTCCTCCCTCTCTCCTCCCTCTCCCTCTCCCCTCCCTTTCCCTTCCCTCTCCCTTTCCCTTCCCCCTCTCTCCTTTCCTTTTCCCCTCCCTCTTCTGCCTCTCCTTCCCCTCCCTTTCCCCTTCCTCCCTTTCTCCCCTTTCCCTTCCTCCCTCTCCCTTTTTTCCCCCTCCTCTCTCCTCCCTCTCCCTCCTCCCTTTCTTCCCCTCCCTTTCCCTTCCCTCTCTTTCCTTTTCCCCTCCCTCCCTCTCCTCCTTTCCCCTGTCCGCTCCCTCCTCTGTCCCTGGAGCTTTTGTATTTCCCTCAGAGTCACTGCACATCACACACAAGCTCCCGGATGTGTTGACAGATTCACAGTTAATTTAACCGTGCAAACATTCACTATAATCTTATCATCGATGAGAAGTTTGCTGTTGACTGAACGAGTATGTTGCTTGTGCGTGGAGTCTGTGTGTGTGTGTGTGTGGGGGGGGGGGGTTGTGTGTGTGTGTGGGGGGGGGGTTGTCCGTGTGTGTGTGTGTGTGTGTGTGTGTTTGTGTGTGTGTGTGTGTGTGTGTGTGTGTGTGTGTGTGTGTGTGTGTGTGTGTGTGTGTGTGTTTGTGTTTGGCTCTTCTTTCCTTCTTCTCTCCTTCCATTCTTCCTCCCTCCCTTCCTCTTTGTTTTCTTCCTCTCTTCCTCTATTTTTCCTTCTTTGTTTCCTTTCTCCCTTCCTCTTTCTTTTTTCTTTTCCTCTTTCATCCATTTCCTTCATCCTCCCTCCTTCAACCCATTTCTTCTCTCCCTCCTTCCTTCCTTCCCTCTCTTTTCCTTCTCACATTTTCATCATTACCTATTTATCATAGTGCTTTCGTGATGAACATTTTATCAATCGATATCTGTTGTTTTAGTTGCTAAGATAATAATAATAATAATAATAATAATAATAATAATAATAATAATAATAATAATAATAATAATAATAATAATAATAATAAATGTTAGTAATAATAATGATAGTAATTTTGCCATTCACAATATTAACTAAAGCGTCTATATCATCATCATTCTTACTGGTATTATATTATTTTAATTGCATTAGATTGATGATTTCTACAAATGACCTATGGTTTTCGCTAAATTTGTCATTAGTAGATTAGTTTAGTCGTGTTAACAGTGCTTGCCTAATGATAAGGTCTTCATTGATTGTACCTTGTCAGAACTACAGCTATCACAACAACAACCATACACACAACAGCCACCACAGTTACCTTCACAGCTACAACCAGTTTCAACCACAACCATCACATCTGTAAACACAATAACAACCTCAACCACAACCACTGCTTTAGCAACAACCACAACCTTAACCACAGTTACAATCACAACAACCACAACAACAACAGCTACAACCATAACTACACCAACCACAACCGTTCCTACCCCCCCCCTCTCCTCCCCCAGGCGCGAGGCGGAGGTACACATGGACGGGTCGTTCCTCGTGAGACTGACGTACGACGATGAAATCACTTACAACGTGGTGGCAGCTGCAGAACGCGTTTTGGGTAAGTTATTTTGAGTTTTTTCGCGTTTTGTTGTTGTTATTTCGTTTTTTTTTCTTTCTTTTTTTTTGCGTGGGCGTGGAGGGGGGAGGGAAGGAGGAAGGAGGAGGAAGATTGAAGGGAAAGAGGGAGAGAGCGAGAAGCTAAAGGGAAAAGGGAATAGAGAAGGGAAGGGGAATGAAGAAAAGAGAGGGGAGAGAATGAAAAGGCAGAGGGTTTTTGGAGGAGGGGGGATGGCGGTGTGAGAGGGGGGATCTATGTATTAAAGTTTCTGTCCATCTTTCTGATCATTCTAGTTCCTCTCTTCCTCTCTATCTATCTATTTTTTTATCTATTTATCTCTCAAACTATCTATTTACCTATGTACTATCTATTTATCTCTAAACTATCTATCTACCTACCTACCTACCTTTATATCTTTCAAGCTATCTATTTGCCTTCCTGTCGATCTATTCACCCCTAAAACTATATATTTACCTACCTATCTATCTACTTATTTCCCAAACTATCTATCTACCTATCTATCTCATTCCCTCTCTTTCGCTCCATCGCTCTAAACCTCATCAAAGTGTACTCTCTGATACCAAATTTCATTAAAAAACATGGATTCACTTTTATTAGTCCATCGATTCCTTCAAATTAGGTTTTATTAGACTATAAAAGAGATTATGTAACAAAAAATAAATGAATATAGACTACCGGACAGAGATAAACGCATAGAAATCCACATCGATAAAAATGAATCCAACACATTTCCATACTAATAAATACAGGAATAGATAGATAGATACCGATAGATAAATAAAGATGCCATACCAGTAGATAAATGAAGTTGAATACACACACACACACACACAATAGGTACCATACCAATAGATAAATGAAGTTAAATTCACATACACACACAATAGGTACCATACCAATAGATGAATGAAATTAAACACACATACACACACACACACACAATAGGTACCATACCAATAGATAAATGAAGTTAAATACACACACACACGCACAATAGATACCATACCAATAGATAAATGAAAAATACACACACACACACACACACACGCACACACAATAGGTACCATACCAATAGATGTATGAAGTTAAATCCACACACACACACACACACACACAATAGATACCATGTCAATAGATGAATGAAGTTTAATACACATACACACACACAGGTGACAAGCCACTGATGGATAAAAGAAAGAGGATGAGAGGAAGAGAGAGGGGAGGAGAGAGGAAAAGAAATGGGAAGGAGGAAGGGAGATGAGGAGGAAGGGGGTTAAGGAAAAGAGAGAGAGGGAGGGGTAGTGAGGACAGAGGAGGAATGTGGAAGAGAAAGTGGGAGAGAGCGAGAAGCTAAAACGGAAAGGGAATAGGTAAGGGGAGGGAAGGAAAGAGAGGGGAGCGAATAAAGGTAAAAAGGAAATGGAAGAGGATAAAGATGGAAGGGATAGGGGACGGGGGGAGGAGAGATAGAGGAGGAAAAGGGGAAGGGGAAACCGGATGCAAAGGCAGAGGGGAGAGGGGAAGGGGTTGAGGGGAGAATAAAGGCTGATGGGGAGAGGGGAAAGAGGGGAGTTGGTTAACAGGAGAGAGGGGGAAGTGAGGGGGAAATTGAGTAAGTTAGCGGGGGAGGAAGGGTTAAAGGAGATGACCAAACCTGATAATTTTTTTTTCTTTTTCTTTTTCTAATTTGCCAACACTTCCTCTTTGAAAACATGTAAATTTAATCAATAAAATTAATTTAG